ATTCTGTCCCTAGGATTATTTAAGTCGCTCTCTCTCTCTCTCTCTCTCTCTCTCTCTCTCTCTCTCTCTCTCTCTCTCTTTCTTTCTTTCTTTCTTTTCTTTCTGCTTGTTTGTTTTATTTAGTGAAAAGCAGGAAACCAGATTCATCTGTTAAAAGACTCCAAGGAGCCTTGACTTAACTTGGTTCAAACTAAGTTTTGCTTTGGCTGGACCAGTCTTGAGGACAAGGTCTCCCCGTGCTGTGCTACAAGGAGTCACGGCGATGTGGATGGTACTTACCAGGTTCTCTTCACACAGCTCTCTGAACTGGTAGAATTTCTGCGCCATGAGAAGTTGGGCGCTGCCCACCGCGGTTCGGATTTTCCCTAGAACTGAAAAGAGCAGACACAGAGGTTTACACGATGCCTCAATGTTGAGACTTAGTCTGATTAAAAAAAAAAAAAAAAAAAAAAGCAAAGAAAAAGTTATGCTGTTGCGGTGTGAAAAAACAGCACACACAACGTGTGCCCACACGCACCTGGGTCCATGAAACCCGGGATACCGGGTTCAAGCATAAAGTCAACTTGGGAGACCACATGTTTATCGCTCTTTTTTTTTGGGAGAACTGAGTTTTCCGTCACAGCACTGTGCTGTACCCCAAGGAGAGGCAAATAGCGTTCCTTTTCTTGGTCCAGACAAACTTCACGCGATTTTCCCAGTGTAGTTTCAGGTTTATGGAGTCAGTGATCCTGAACTACTAGGTTGATTTTCTAATTCCAATTCAAACACAAGAAAAGTAATACAAACTGGGGGGGGGGGGATCTCCTAACACCCTAACTAGTCCATAATCCAGCTTTTTCCCTGGAGTTCAGCCACTGGCATTCTCTGAGAAGTGATGGGGTTCAACCTGTCGCCTGGGTCACACCAGCACGGACCCTAACATCCATTTGGTGTGGAGTCTTCCTCCTTGCTTTGGTACTTGAAGCGGTCTCAGAATCCGCCTTTGAGTGCCTCTGCAGGGGCCCTGGTCTCAGTGTCCCCAGGGCTCCCCCTGCACCCGCAGCCCTTGCAGCTGCCCCTGCTGGAGCTTTGCTACATAGCAAACCGCCCTCCTGTACCCGAGTGGACAGAAACCTCCCACAATGGAAGACTAGAAAGAACTCAGACAACCTGAGGCTTGGATAGGCTCGGAATTCTGCCTGGTAGAGACAATATGGGGTTCAAGCAATCTCACTGTTGGCTTCGATCTAAAAAATTCACACTCCTTTTCTCAACCACAAGGTCAGGAGAAAACAAAGAAAGCAACGGCATTGTCCAGGCTGGCTTTTTAGTAATCTGCTGTACGGGATTCACAATGCCAGGCCTCATGATGCTCATTCTACCTAGGAAGTTCTGGGGCAGACCTACACAGAAGTCTTTCCAAGATCACTCTTGAATCCACTATTGTTCTGCAGCGAGGTGGTAGTTAACCTTGAAGCAGTTAGCCTGGCCCCCAAGGCTAAAGCCAAGGCCAGAGAAGGGCAGAGGAGCCAAGGCCCTGCCTTCTTGGGCTTTGCATCCTAGTGGAAAGCACAAAGAAAAGGCAGGGGAGCAGAGCCCTTCAGTGGATTAGACAACATAGCGTTCTTCCTCTGTCTCCTATGAAATGGAAAATAAATGAGCAACAAACAGGCTCTGGCTTAAACAGTTTGTCTTGATAGTCACAATTTTATAACAGCACTTTTTATCTTATTTACCTCCTTAAATCTATGCACATNTTATGAGCATTTGTGTTTTGTCTGCATGTATGTCTGTGTGAGGGTGCCAGAGACCCTGGAACTCAAATTGCAGACAGGTGTGACCTGCCATGTGGGTTTTGGGTGTTGAACCGGGGTCTTTTGGAAGAACAGCCAATGCTATTAATTGCTGAGTCATCTCTCCAGCCCCATAAATACATAAATGAAAACACACATGAACACTGGATTTGATCCGTCCCACATACACAGTAGATAGACTGTGGGTTGAGGCAACAGATTTTCTCTGAATATTAAAATGGGAGGTTCGAGGACTCTGTGGGTCGGGAATGGGTTTTGCTCCTGGGGTTCTGGGTAGTGGCCTCCTTTACAAGCAGGCTCCTGTAAACTTTTTAGATTGTCCAACCAAATAGGGTGCTGTTCTGTTCACGTGAGTGTCCCCCAGAGGCCTTTGTATTAAAATGTTGTTCACTGGCCTATGGGGCTTCTGGAAGTAGAAGACACTTGGGAAGTGGGGCCTTAGTGGAAGGAACTCGAGCTGCTAGGTGCCGGAAAAGGGACACTGGCACCCCAGTCATTTCCCCTTTCTCTTTTGTTCCTCAGCTCCCACGATGTCCTCTGCCACTGAGGTCTACAAGCAACAAGGTTAAGTAACCATGGACTGAACCTTTGCTTTTGTTTTTCCCCAGACAGGGTCTTTCTATATAGCCCTGACTCTCCTAGAACTCGCTCTGTAGAGCAGGCTGGTCTCAAACTCATGGAGATCCACCTGCCTCTGCCTCCCGAGTGCTGAGATTAAAGACATGGCCTGACTTCTTGTTTTATTTTAAAAAATCTATTTCTTTTTTATTTTATGTGTATATACGAGTGCCTAAATGGACATACGTGCATTGTGTGTGTACAGGTCCCCGCAGAGGCCAGAACAGGTAGCAGATCCTTTGTAACTACGGTTATAGGGGATTGTGAGCTTCTTAATATGGGTGCTGGAAATGGAACCTGGGTCCTGTTCAAGAGCAGAAAGAGCGCTTAACCACTGAGCCATCTCTCCAGCACTTGTTTCCTTTCTCTCTCTCTCTCTCTCTCTCTCTCTCTCTCTCTCTCTCTCTCTCTCTCTCTCTCTCGTTTGTTCTGGGAGATAGAATCTCATTTTGTAGTCCTGGTGTCCTGAAGATCACTCTAGACCCGGCTGGCTTGGAACGTTGAGACCAACCTGGGCAATACAGTAAGGTCCTGGTTCTAAATAAATCAATAATAAAATAAATAAGGCAAATTCAAATTCATAGAGTGGATCACAGAGCAGAGTGTAAGGAGAGACCCTGTATCAAAAACTAAAGCAAGGAGCCGGGCATGGTGCTTCGTGCCTTTAATCCCAGCACTTGGGAGGCAGAGGCAGGCAGATCTCTGTGAGTTTGAGTCCAGCCTGGTCTACATGAGCTAGTTCCAGGACAGGCTCCAAAGCTACAGAGAAACCCTATCTCGAAAAACTAAAAAACAAACAAACAAACAAAAGTCTGTGGAGTGTGATTTCTCTCGATTATCAACACTTTCTAGAACCAGGTTTGGTAGCCAATCCTCAGGAGGCTGAGGCAGGAGGATTCTGAGTTCAAGATTGTGCCAAACTACTTAGTGAGACCTTGTCTCTGAACACCAAAGCCAAGCAAAACCAAACCAAATATTCACCTTCCAGCCAGCGCCACGGGACAGAAGGATTGGGTACAAGGGGACACGGTGGGAATCTGGAGCTGAGAGCAGAACAGACCTAGTCGCAGTGGCTGAGGACAAGGTCCCGTCAGCTGTGAAGAAAGTGGAGGGTCTGGGGCTCACTCCACAGACATGGTTAGAGAAAATTACAAGCCCCATGTTTTCTTTAAAGGTCACACGTTATAATGAGAAGCAGAGAAAGGCTCTGTGGGGAGGGGCGTCTATGCAGACTACGCTTTGAAATCCCCTGGCTATGCTGAATTAAAGACCGAGACATTTAGAGAAGAATGAAGCTCCTCTTTCCCCCACTTGCCTGTGTGGGGTATGGTTTTTATTTGGGGAACACAGCGATGGTAGAAAAAGCACGGGGGGGTGAAAAGAACGAGCGATTTCTTTTAACCCTGCCAGGGGAATCCACGATAGCTACGAGCCGGTGCCAGCGAGCCAAAACAAAGACCAGTTAGTTCCCTTGGGAATACGCCTGGCTTTTCGCTGAATCAAAAGTTCAGGGCTGAAGGTGCTGCTTAGCATGTGTGCCGCGCGGAACTCAATCCTTAGTACCTAAAACACAAACAATCGAACAAACGCACACAACAGGTGAGCGGTCCAGCAACTCTGTGAGCCCCTCCGTAGTCCAGGAGAACTGGTCTCTAGATCGGAAAAGTCAGAAGACTGGTTTCTCTGGCTTCTTTTAATTCCTTCCTTCCTTCCTTCCTTCCTTCCTTCCTTCCTTCCTTCCTTCCTTCCTTCCTTCCTTCTTTCCCTCCTCCTCCTCCTTCTCCTCCTCCTTCTTCCTCTTCCTCCTCTTCCTCCTTCTCCTCCTCCTCCTCCTTTTTATTTTTAGTTTTGAGGCAGAGTCTTGCTATACAGGCTTGGCTGGCCTGAAGCTATAGACTGAGGCGGCTTCAAGCGCTCAGAGACTCACGTTCCTCTGCCTCCTGTATCCCAAGTGCTAGGATTAAAGCCACCATGGTTGGCTTGCGCTCAGCTCTGCCCAATCCACAGTCACCATTCCTCTACTTTAGGGCCTCGGACACTGGAAAGAACATGCATTCAGCCTCAAACTTGTTATGCAGCCAAAGACAACCTTCAAGTCCTGATTCTCCTGCCTGCATCTCCCTAGTGCTAGGATTATAGGCATGCACCACTATGCCTGGGCTATGCTGAGCTGTGATTGAACCCATGGCTTCACTCTTACCAACTGAGCTACATCCCCAGTTCAAACAAACATTTTTTTCCCCATGTCATTAGTTTATTTACAATCGTATCTAGCATAAGAATTTGAAAGTTTAAGCCATTTCTCATCGATTTCATTTCTTAAACATTCTTTATAGTTGTTAAAGGGATGAATGAAAATATTCTGCTTTCTTAAGTAGTCGCTGCCGTCTTAGGAAGAAAGGAGCAACAGATCTAGATCTGTTAAGTTCACAGTTGTCAGAGCCAGTGACCAACGGAGAAGCACAGAGGTGGTGAACTCTGACGTTCTGGCCTAACATGGTGCTGTTGAAGCTCTGTAAGGCTGCAGACAGAGCAGGAATGTGGAAGTAATGGCTGCAGCACCGTCTCCCTCATGACCTTGATGTCTGAATTACCAAAGGGAAGAGGAGAATTACAGACATATTTCTTACTCCTTTTGTAGAGTCCTGGAGGACTAGAAAATACCGTCACCATGCAGGAGCCCATCGAGCTGTCCAGCCATGGTGAAGGGCCATCAAGTGAACACGCCAGGGAGCCATTTTCAAATGGCTTGCCCCTCAACAGCAGCATCTGCTGTGCTCCTTTTCCATGGAACTTCCTCTGACACCCAGGCTGTGGGTTCAAGGGCAGCCAGCTTCTTCACTAAGTAACTGTTCATCTTGGGACCATTTACACATCTCTTCCTCCTCATCTCTCCTGAAATTCCTATACCTAGCTGCCTCTGCCATCTGCTCATTCCTCTATCTTTGGGTGGCTAGAAC